TAGAATTTTTGTTGTATCTATGAAATTTATGTCTAATAAATTTAATTAGTCAAACAAAATATAAAAATAGATGGAATTTATGCAATTTTGGTGTATTTTTTGTCATTAAATATTGAACAAAATTGATAACGACATTACTTATTTTTAAATCCATTTGTATGAATGACATTTAGTTTGAAATTTACACTTTTTTTCAGAGATATTATTAACCAAAAACATAGTTGGGAGTTTAGGGCCCGAGCCAGCGAGGTGTATGACTTCGCAGCGACGTGAGCCCACCTGTTATAGGACGACAAAATTTTCATCGACAAATAGGCATCGGAAACTCCAGCCCTTCAGAGAAACGTGACTGACATCCGAATTGCGAACAGCAGCAAACATTTTTTCACCAACAGCAATTAAAATAAAAAAATCACCGCAACCATTGCCATTAAAATCGTCGTTGGTACGCCACTGGCACCACTACCATGGGCAGCGTCAACGTCAATCGCAGCGTCAGCGATGTCTTTTATCGCTACAAGATGCCCCGGCTGATGGCCAAAGTGGAGGGCAAAGGTAACGGCATTAAAACGGTCATCGTTAATATGGCCGAAGTGGCCAAGGCCCTAGGCCGACCCCCCACCTATCCGACGAAGTATTTCGGTTGCGAATTGGGCGCTCAAACTCAATTCGATTTCAAAAACGAAAGATTTATCGTCAATGGATCTCACGATGCGGGCAAATTACAAGACCTACTCGATGGCTTCATCCGAAAGTAAGTAGTACAATTTTTGAAAAATAGTAACTAATTAAAAAAAAAAAGATTCGTTTTATGTCCCGAATGCGAGAACCCCGAAACCGAGCTGCTGGTCTCTACCAAACGCAGCACCATATCTCAAGGTTGCAAGGCATGCGGCTACCACGGCCCACTAGAATCTAACCATAAATTGGTCACCTTCATTTTAAAAAATCCGCCAAATTTGAACCCCGCCGTGCAGGGGTCATCATTGACCGAAGGTAAGAGGTCAAAGAGAAGCAAACGCGCTAACGGAGACACCAATGGAGACACCAGTCAAGTCGATGATCAAAACGAAAGCTTAGAAGTGTCGGTTAATGAAAATTCCAACAAGGTAAGTGACGCGGACCGCAGACTGAACATTTTGAAATTGGAACATTTGACAGAACGGTGATGATGACGACGCACATGAATGGCAAGCCGACGTGTCGGAAGAAGCTGTGCGCGCTCGAATGCAGGATTTAACCGAAGGTGCGAAAAATATGACCATCAATGATGATTTAGAAAAGAGCGAAAAGGACCGAATGGATATTTTTTACGAATTGGTCAAGTCGAAACGCGACGCTGGTCAGTTGGACAACCCACAAATCTTTAAAGAATTGTACAATGAGGCTGATCGTTTGGAAATCAAGACTAAGGCCCCTTTGGTCTTGGCTGAAGTTCTCTTTGATCAGAATATAAGACAGCAATTGTACGATTATAGGTTGTTGTTGTTGCGTTTCTGTCATGACGATAAAAAGGCACAAAGATATTTAATGGGAGGGTTCGAGCAGGTGATCGCTCTGCATCGCGACGCTTTGCTTAATAAGGTACCGGTTTTGCTGAAATTGCTTTATGACCTGGATATTTTGAGCGAGGCTACGATTATCGCATGGGCGGAGAAGGTGTCGAAGAAGTACGTGTCGAAGGAAATCAGTCAAGAGATTCACGATAAGGCCGCGCCGTTTGTCAAGTGGTTGAAGGAAGCTGAAACGGAAGAGTCCGAAAGCGAAGAAGAAAGTGATGATGATGTCGAAATAGAATACAACGACCGAGCTCAAGTCGTTCCATTGAAACCGACTTCCACTACAAACAATAAGACGGAACGTGTTGAAGATGATGGAGAAGATGACGTCGATATTGATGCCATTTAAAGAGTTCTTATCCCGATAACAGGGTGCCGAGTGGATTTTTTTTTGTTCAGATTGACACTCGGTTTTTTGTCTCAAAAAAAGATTCGCATTATTTTTATCATAAAATGGTTGTATGTTTAGCAAGTAAAGTTTGAACACTTTGTTATCAGGTAGTTACAACACTGTTTTCTGGTACCCGACATTAATGTAACAAAACTTCCATTCACAAATAAATTGATTATTGTATCATTTGTAAGGTTTCATTAAAGTGTTTTTTTCGCAATATTATATGAGATGTTATATAAAGGATTTTATTATAATTGCTATTATAGTTATATAGATAGGTTTCCATATTTCCCATGTCAAATATCGAGCTGTATCAGTGGGTTTTACGATTTTATTATTGTTTAAATGTGAATAAAATTTAAAGCATCACCGTCACTTCTTTAAATTAGCCTATTCACCCGAAATTCGTAACCATTTCCTTTTCCACTTGTCACTGGAAGTAGCCAACAACACACATTATCGCCAAAAACTTCAGTGAAATTCGTCCATTGTCCCAAGTCAAAAGTTGTGTTATCTTGATAGTATATCGTGTCACGCAACCCTTCAATGGTAGTTTCATTTTTAAGAATCAACTTCAAGTGATAAAGAAACAAGAACAAAACAAGCAGCCCCAATAATGCCGCCAATAAAAATCTGCAATACGATGACAAATAATACAAGTGGCAACGTCGTCTCCACCCAATCGAACGCCAAATTATAGACACATTCAATGCAAACGGTGTTGCCACGTTTAGACCAAAATCCTTAACTCACCCAATTCCAACCAGTAGCTTGCTCACATTTGTTTGAATATCTTTCCAAAGATCTACAATATATTCCGCCACAGTTCCAGCATAAAACGCGCACCATAATGTTGTATAAAACAACATCAAAATGAACTGTTTGTAGTTACAAAACCCAATACAGTTGTCCACCCATGGGCAGTGATGGTCCATCTTGAGGATACATCTCTCGCAAGTTGAGCAATGATGGGTTCTATCAGGCTTGATAAGCATACAAGTCTTGCAGTAACGAGGTCGGCTGTGAAGACCACAAGTGTACATTTCTAGATTGCGCAAGCGTATCAACTTTTTCAGAATAGCGTTAGCTTCATCTTCGGTATAATTGAGGAGTCGGGAATGTTCGGATGGGTTCAGGCGGTATTCGTCAGGAATCGGGTGGTGTTTCTTCACCGCCGTTGCAAGGAAAGACCAAAGGAACATAAGGATAGTCACGTGATAGAGGAAGAGATAACTTGTTTTTTTAGCTACACTGTCGACGATGTAGACGCAAAAGTGAAGAACGTACGAGTAGTAGGAAAAAATTGTTAGACCTAAAATGAGGGTTGGCGGGATTATGTTAAGAAGTGACGTACATGACATGACACTTAGGTGACATTATTGAAACAAAATTACATTCGGAACAAAACTTTTTAAATGTTGGTTATAAAAATTTCTTTTGGGTCAATATGTAACTTACAAAAAGGAAATATAAATGTAGAAAATAAATAAAATCACATTCTTGCAACCATACAGTCGCGTAAATCTAGTCTATTAACAATTTCTAATAAAATTTCGATATCTCTTAAAGATTCAACAGTTTTAGGACAGCCTAATAGTACAACTGGTACTTTATCTATTGCAATCTTAAGGTGTTTCTCGGAAAAACTAACACTTTTTGGTTTCACAGTATTGTAAAATCTAATTTCAGTCTTCAGGTCGTAGTTCATAATCACTGAAACTTTCCATTCAGGTGACGGAAATCGAATTTCATCCAAACACTGGCACAATTTTTCAAAACCAAACGTCAATTTATTCAATTTTAAACTAGTCGAACGCTTCACAGCTGGTAAATGAATTCGTCTTTTACCATTTCTAAACCTAGATTCAACTTCACTAGATTTGAGATTAGTTACCAAACGTTTTAAAGTCAAAGGTTGCTCTTTCAAGTCAAGAGTACCTTCTACCGAGGTCACAAGTTTTCTTTTGGTCCCACGTTCAATTTTTCCATTTTTCCTAGACTTATCTTCACTTCGTAAATTTGTCCTGCGTTGTTGAATCATTTTTCTAGTCCTGTTTTCACGTTTCTGATTCGTTGACGGTCCATTTGTAGTCCCACTTTCGAAACGCTTATGAATCCCTCTTTTAAGCCCACGTCCAACATTCAACTTTGTAACATATTGTATCAGTCGTTTCTTAACCAGCGGAGGCCGTTTTCGTTTTGGTTTTTGGAGCCAAGTATTAATCTCTCTTTTAACCCCACGTCCAACATTCGACTTGGTGACATATTGTATCACATGTTTCTGAACCAGCGGTGGCCGCCCTCGCTTTCGTTTTGGTTCAAGATCCGTGTAGGGTTTCAGGGGCACTCTCAGAATAACATCGTTGATAGCCACCTCCTCCAAACAAATTTTGGCGGCTGTAAACCATCCCAGTTTAAATGTAGGAGGCCACTTACTCCCATTCGGAGCCTTAAAGCGCTGTCTTGCGTTTTTTCTCGGTCTACCCATGATTTAATTTTAGTAAATAAGTCACATAACCTAAAACATGTCAAACTTCATTGTAACATTTCCAACATATTTTGTACATATAAAATTAACTCATACCTTTTAGTATTTGAGAACTTATAACGAAAAGATGTAAGATCTTGCTGAGGTTTATTAATTTCAACTTGAGTAATTCCATTAGTAGCGTTCCCGCGATTGGAAATTTGCTTTTTGCGTTGCCACCAAGCTTCCGGCAGATGCCGCGCAATTTGCAAATTTGGTTTGTTTCTCGGATGTATTATTGATATAATGATTATCAAAAGTGGATTTTTGCGTATTTGTTAATTCTGTTCAAGTATTTTTTGTAATATTGTAAGTAAATTATTGGTTTCATTGATTGTATGCACGTTGTGACGACTGTCATTTGGATTTTTTGCGTTATTGCTTGACAAATCAATCATATTTTGTGAATTGATGTTCAATTTATTTGTTGTCATTTTGCTAGACAAAGGCCACTTGATTTGTTGTTTGTGTAAAGTAAACAAAAGGATGATTAGGGCTTATCCTGACTCTTATTTTCCTTAAAGATAACAATCAGATATTGATCCTTAGATTTGTGAGTAAATACGGGACCATCAACCGAAATGTAAAAGGTCACCGAGTTATTGCCACATATTTTTTTGCACTAGGTACTTGTAATTAAAGCGGATGATGTTTTGTATTATTTTTTGATATAATCTTGCAAAATTGCGTTTATAATGAATGTTTTTGAAAATAATAATTATAAATTATGTACGGTCGAAAGTTCATTTCTGAAAAAAAATAAAAAAAGCAATCGCTTATTCATGTTATGTGTTATTAATGTTATTATCATTAGCAAAAACAATTTCACAATGATATATTGTGTAAGATATCTATCAATATTTCTATCTAATGCAATTACTTTTATTTTTAACGTATATAATAAATAAAACGTAAAAATACCCGTGTCACGTGACACTTTTTTCGCGCCAAATGTACAAATTCAAAGTATCCGCTTGCCCTTTTAGCGCCTTGCCCTCCCCCCAGCTCCCTCGCCCTGATGCAGGCCTAATTTTGTCATTAACCAGTCCGCTCCTTTTAATACGTAACAATTTTGTTCATTGTTTGTTTATTATTCACACATTCATACGAGTAACAGTAACTCAGCAAAAGTTGACCACTCTTGAAAACCAGTCGTTGAGTGAGCGCTCAGCACAACAAAACAAGAGTGGAACTTTCTCATATCGGTGTTTCTCGATTTCCTTATCTTGACAATGTTTTGTATATAAATTGTTATTCAAAGAGTGCTATCTTTTAATAATTAGTGAAACAGTAAAGTGATCACATTTTGCGTGAAAATGTACGGCAAAAGCGCACAGAAACGGCACAGAAAAAGGAAAACATGGAGAATTAAACGTAGGTTGCGGATTGTTTTGAAAAATTGGGACGTGCGTCGCAGCGTTATTTCCGAAAATTGTCAAAATAACAATGTTTCAAAGTCCGCATTGTTTGCATAATATTAATCAGACTGGTTGTTGACGTCAATATTACGATTATCTAATTTTTGCAGACTGGAAGATGTTGGGTGATTATGAAGATGATTCGTCATCTTCGGGTGGTGAACTCACCCCGACTCGCAAGTCCGGCTCTGGAGCAGCGACCCAAAATAGCGCCCAGCAAAACCCTTCGATTCTTTCATCGTTACGAAGCGTCTTGATTGTCATAAGTTCGGCTCTAATTTGTTTTGCAGCGGCGAGAAATTCAATCACTTGGTATGCAAAATAAATTTATGGTAATTCGAGATTCAGGTTTTTTTAAAGGCACTGTCAGAGATTCTGGGGGGCTTCGGGCGACTTTTGGCAGGCCCAATGGGATAAATTTTTGGATACGGTGGGCGAGGATCCTTTCAGCTTGTGGGTTTATGGAACAACAGTCCTGACTTTTGGGGTATATTGGCTGTTTGGGGGGATATACACCATTTTAGATGTGACCAACAAACCGGCAGCTCTTCGACGGTATAAAATCCAGCCGGGGACGAACGAACCCGTCGATAATAAAAAACTCCTCCATGTAAGATTTTCAATAAAGTATTTAACAATAATTTGATTGAGTTTAGGTCATTTGGTGCGTGATTTTCAACCAAATCATAGTCGGCTTGCCCTCCACGATCCTCATGTATTGGATCATGTCTTGGCGGGGGTTCCCCCCATTACGCGAGCTTCCTACCTTCCATTGGGTATTGTACGAATTGGCAGTGCATATTCTAGTCGAAGAAGCCGCCTTTTATTACTCCCATAGGTACGTTTCCTCCTGGAAATTCCCCCATCTAAGGGCTTCAATGTTTCAGACTCCTACACCACCGTTACCTCTACAAAATCATCCACAAACAACACCACGAATGGACAGCCCCAATTGCGGTAACGGCTATTTACAGTCACCCAATTGAACATCTCTTTTCCAATTTGATTCCTCCATTTTTGGGGGTATTTATAATGGGGTCTCACGTGGCCACGGCTTGGTTGTGGTTCACTTTAGCGCTCTTATCAACGTTGAATGCCCACTCTGGGTATCATCTCCCGTTTTTCCCATCACCGGAAGCCCATGATTTTCATCACATGAAGTAATTTAACCAATTGATTATAGCCACAATTAATTTTTTCCCTTCAGATTTAATAATTGTTTCGGGGTGTTGGGTGTGTTGGATCGGCTTCATGGCACTGATACCAACTTCCGGTCATCGAGGGCCTACGTCCGCCATATTATGATGTTAAGCTTCATCCCTCCAAGGGAGGCCTACCCTGAACCCAACCCCTGCAAACACAAGCTGGGGAAGCAGTAATAGGAGTTCGGGAACCATATTTTAACTCATGCACATATAATGTAATAATATTAAAGTGAATATTGTTAGATGTAGTTGCGTCACTTCCTGAATATGACCAGGATTTATAAAAAAATATTGTAATTGTTATATCTCTCTAAGGGGTGATTTTTTTGTATATTTGACGGTTGTAAGAACGGAAATGTTCCATGAAACACAAAGAAACTTGTTTTTACGTAATATAACATTTATATTACGTTGCAGTTGCATAAATTTTATATTTGTTAGTGTTTATTGGAGCAACAGCAATGGTTTTTGGGAACAAATCTCAAGAAATTATTTTTTCCCAAGGAAATGGCGAAACGTAATTAGCGGATTTAAGACGTAAGAAGGAATGCAAGAATTTTAAGGGCTGTATTTTTACTATATTTGTATTATACTATTGGTTGAATATAGCAATAAATATTCTGACTGTGAATCGTCTTTTATTTACAAAAATAAACAAATTCAATATTTCTTCAAAGTCTTTCTGATCAATGCTAGACGCTGTTTGTGCGCCTCCGTTGTGAGACTCCTCTTGTACGGCCTCAACTCATCTGTTCCAAACCCAGGGGTCCACATATTATAATTCCTATTCAAGAACTGCTGAACATCTTTCACTTCAATCGTATTAACTCGCCGATTTTTCGCGATTAGGGCAGCCCCATTGAGACACCGATCAACAAACTCGTCCACGTAATTCAATATTATTTCCTCAACCTCGTCCTCAAGGTTAAGCGTGGAGTCGGTGTCGCGCACCAGGTCTTGGAGTCTCTGTTTGGTCAAAATTTGGGCATGATCTGAACCCTGAACGGTCTTCATTGGGGTTTGCACCGTCTGGACTCCCACGAGGCTTGCCCCCGCCATGGGAATTGTCTCCACAACAATCCCAGGTTTCATCTCATTTGATTGATCGACTGTAGCAGGGGCGTGCGATAATGCTGTGAGAGGAATTCCGTTGTTTGCATTGACGTTCGTCATGATAGTGTGGGGGATGGGCACTTGGTTGATTACGATGTTCTGCGGCTGGATCAGGTTGTTGGTCAAATTGGGCACCGACATGGTGATAATAAACTTATAGGGCGAAAAGTAGGGTTATGTTATAGTCAATAAAACTATGAAAATCACTTATTTGGACACTCCATTGATAGTTCCTCACAGTACTTATTAAATTAATTTCACGAAATTAACAGTTCTGCAGTAATTATGCAGAAAAATTAAACAATTTGTTAGCTTCCACCTTCAAACTTTTTGTTGTCATTTGACATCAAAAATTGACATTTGACATTTTCTTACTTGAAAGGTTAGTACCAACCTAATAACGCAAAATTCTAAAAGTTTCTTTAGTTTCTTTTATCTTCTATCTTTTTTGATGATTGTCATTTGACATTTGTACTATTCTAAAAATTGTAGAATCTCGTTTTTGCAATTTTAGGGTGGAAAAAAATGTCCGAAACTGTGTTGTATCAGTGTCGTTTGTGTTTAAAAGATTCCCAGTTTTGTTATTCTTTGTTTGATGAGGATGTCATCGAGATAATTGAAAGTTTCACCTCTATTAAGGTTAGGATTTCAATTTTCTTTTATTACTATTTTTTATTACTTAAACTGATTACGGCCGTAATGCTCATTAATGTTTTTCTTCTTTAATTATATCCATTTAGAAATGTATTTTTTTCACAATTGACTCAATAATGGAACCTTGGCGTCAACTTAATGACGATTAATTAGTTTTTTTTTAGTGCATTTCTTTTAGTAAATTGTTTTTTTAACAATAATTTACACTTTTGAGCAAATTTAATTTATTTATATTTAATTATATTTATGTGAACTATTTTTCATTTTCTTTTTTTTATCAGATTGATGAAGACGACGAACTCCCTTCAATTTGTTGTTCACAATGTCTTGAGGACATCTACGTAGTTCACCGTATCAGAAATCGCATAATCGAGTCTGATAAAATCCTACGGGAGCGCATACCTCAAAAACCAAACCCTTCCCCTGAAGATTTCTCGATTAAGATCGAAACGGATTTAAAAGCCGACATTTCCGAGCCCATTTCCGAACTCGTAATAATCAAAAACGAAACTGAATCGAATCCAATTCCCGATGACTCTCCCAGTGAAGAAATCGAAGTCACGATAAATCCCGAAATGAATGAGGTTTTCAAAAAACAAATCGAACTCAAACGCAAATCGGTCCTCGAAAAGCCAGAAAACAATTATGAATGCACCGAATGCAACCTACGTTTCAATTTCCAAAAATACTACTTCCAGCACATGAAAAAACACAACATTTTGAGTGTTTGTAAGATCTGCAGTCGCCAAGTTCTCACTTGTAACTACCGAAGACACCTCGAAGTCCATAAATCGTCGCCGAAAGTCTGCGAATTGTGTGGGGCCGTTGCCAAAAACGCGGAGAGTTTAAGGGGTCATATGTTTTACATGCATAAAAGTACTGCCGAGCAGTATAAATGTAAACAGTGTGGAAAATTTTACCGATACAAGTATAAATATCAATTACACATCCGAAAGGCTCATGGAGGCGATAAAACCCACATTTGTGAGGTGTGTGGAAAAGCATTTTATACAGCTAGGGACGTAAATAGGCACATACAAATGACCCACATGAAACTGAGGCCTTATGTGTGTCAATACTGTAATAAGGGGTTCAGTAGTTCATATGCGAGACGCACGCATGTGAGACAACACACCAATGAGAAGCCCTTCAAGTGTGAGATTTGTGCAGAAGGGTTCAGGCAGAGGGTGTCCTTGAAGACGCATCTCAAGTCCAAACATGGAGTATTACAGATTAGTGAGCAAAGTATACACCAGTCGCCCCCACAAGAAGCGCAAGTTGTTAGTTAAGAGACTGATGTGATTGCTTTTGAGCTCATTTTATTACGTACTGTGCCGTAATTGTTTTTGTATTTTAATACTTTTGTGATTAAATTGTTATTAAGTTCTAGAGTGTCGGCGGAAATTGTAATTTAAAAAATAGAATCATGAAAATAAATGCAAAGTGTTTTAATTACGACTCCTTCATTTGAATAATTTAGGGTTTTTTGTTATCATTTTAGGGAGCTCAATCTTTACAAATATAATTATTAATATTATGAATCAAAAAAAATAATAGAAACATTCCATTAGACGCTCCGACTTAACTGATTATTTGTATTTTTTATAATTAGGTTTTAGTTTTAGATAATTGAAAAATTCCACTATTAAAATGTCATCTGTCAAACGTAAACGTCAATAACCTTTTCACAAACTTATCCAAATTTGCAAAAATAATAGTGAAGGGACAAAAGGCGCATGCAGTCTGTAAGTTACAAAATTCCGCTATTTATGTAATGTTATCGGTGCTATTTAACAAGTCTCTACAAACCGATCCGTTTCTGATTAATGATTTTTCAAGAGTTGCCCCCCTAATCAGTATCAAGTTAAATGGGGCTCCGAATGCGAGTCGTAACAAATCGAAGAACATTGTAATGGCAGAACGTCGCAATGAATCGTATACCAATAAGAACAACGACAATAATTACAGTAACATTCGCACTGTTGTCACTTCTCGTCTATCGGGGCTACCGAACAGTCGGAGGCAAAATAAAAACCGAACCGAGGAAAGTATTTGTCCCAGTGTCGGAAATGTGGTGCAATTCAATAATTTTACGGTGGGGCTACCTTTGAGGCAGCCGTTGCAACCACAAATATACAATCATTTAGCTTATCAGCAGTTTGTACACGCAGTATTACAACCAAATTTACAACCGTGCTTTCACAGACCTAACCAGGAAAACCGGAGGCAGTTACACAACGCTGGTAACACTGGTAATACAAAAGTAAATTAATATTTTTTACGAATCCAAAATGAATTTTAGCTGGACGACGGTCGCTAAAAGGGTTACGTTTTTGGGAAAAAATCTCACCAAATAGTACTAACTCAGGATTCGTTTTCTCTGTTATGACTTACAATGTCCTTGCCCAAGACCTCATCAACCAACATCCTTATTTATACACGTTTCATAGAAGAGATTGTCTCAAATGGGACACTCGTTGGAATAATCTCTTGGCTGAAATTCGCGATTTAAACCCTGACGTAATCAAACCAAAAATGCAAGCAAATTATGACTAAAATCAAATTTTTAGATTTTGTGTCTCCAAGAAGTACAAAATACACATTTAGATCAATATTTTTCAACATTTGAGACTTTGGGTAATAAATATTTGGTACCAACATGAAAAAATAACTTTTATTGAAAATAGGGTACCAAGGACTGTACAAGCAACGCACCGGCCCCCGCACCGACGGCTGTGCCATCTACTACAAGTCCTCCTTACTTACCCTCCTTGAACATGAGACAGTTGAATACAACCAACCCAGTACCCGTCTCCTCGACCGCGACAACGTGGCCATAATCGCAAAATTCGCCCCTAAATCCCACCTCTCGCACTCCTTCGTCGTCGCCACAACCCACCTCCTCTACAACCCAAAACGACAAGACGTACGCCTCGCCCAAACCCAACTCCTCCTTGCCGAAATCGACCGAATTGCGTTTAATTCCTCCAAGTACTTTCCAGTTATCGTCACTGGCGATCTAAACTCCACCCCCAACTCCGCCCTCTACAAATTCATCACTAGTGGACTGTTGCGCCGCGAAGATTTGGCTTCGATTCACTCACCGAGGAGCGAGACCGGGACCTATCGTTTGCCTTCATCGTTGAGAATTACAGGTGGGTGGGGCGTGAGGCGGCGCTGGGTTCTTACAAGTTGTATTTTAGATGAGTGCCAACATGCCGATTTGTTAGCGAAGAGGCAAAAAAATAATCTTTTGCCAAGACAGGAGGAGCTTAAGTTGATTGAGCTGAAACATAGTGGAAGGCAGATTGAAGGGAAGAAAAATAAGGAGAAACTCAATGAGAAGTTGTTCAATTCGGGGAGTTTGAGTCATAAATTTTTCCTAGATTCGGTGTACAAGTACAGAATTAGGGGAGATATCGAAGCAACGACCTTTCAGGACATGTGGGTTTCCGTCGATTACATTTTTTTCAGGTAATTTCATTGTGGTGTTTTGTTCTTATTTAGCTCTTAATTTTAGTAAGAAGCGGAAAAGTAAGAGTGGTCTCGTCCTTTTGGAGCGTTACAGATTGCCGACGAGCAAAGAATTGCGTGATTTAAAAATCCCTAATGGGGATTTGGGGTCGGATCATTTATCTCTGATGGCGAGATTTAAGTTGGAATTGCGATAATGTTTAATGTTAAGGGTTAAGTGTTTTGACTACATATTTTGTAAAAATAAAGTTTGTTTAAGGAGATAGTGTTTGATTGAAAGAATAGTGTTAGAGAGGTGAAATAATTTTATTGAACAACATAAATTTTTAAACAGAATATCTATTTGTTTTGCACAACACAACGAGGGTAACATATTATACAGGGAGAGTGGAATAAATAACTTTCCAACTATACACTATACATCAATTGTGTGAGTGTTAGAAAACTCCACCGAATCGTGTGCGTGAAATTCGGTGTTTGTTCCCTGGCGCACAAATAGAGAACTGTCAGCGAATTTCATAATTTTCGCAAATCAAAGACCTGTGAAAATATAAGCTGAATCGGGAGAGACGGCAAGTAGAGTTTTCCTGTATTTGTGGTCCCAGTCAATTCAGTTTAAATTCGGTTTAGGTGATTGATCTCGCTTGGTCGTGGAGTTGATGAGTGAGTCGCCATGTCCGGTATTAAGGCCCGTCGTGCACTCTAACGGGTCTTAGCAGAGGTCGTGGCTGCTATCTAACGGTGATCAGCGCGAGTATCAATAAGTACATCCGAAAGCGTTACACAGTACGGTTAGAATATAGAATATTAAAAACGGGAGGGCCAAGCCCACCTGAATTAAAGCTATACACACAACACCTAGATAAAGTATAAAGAACAACCATTATCAATATACATATATGTTTTTTTGATTTATAAAATATTTTAACAGGAAACAACAAGCACGTTACATGCAAATAGAATCATAACATTAGCTTAAGACTTTATTATACAGTGTTAGAAAACATCCACTTTTATATGTATAGTATTTATAAATATTTAAACAAACTTAAACTAAAAAACCTAGGCTAGTATTCTCCAACCGAAAAACCTGAAAAACGGTGACTGAAGCCTGTGATGTATACAAGAGCTAAACGCTTCTGAACTAATGGAGATGGTCAGGTCTTACGTTGGACAATCTCACCCTTTTTTGGTCTAAACATCCACCACCATCTTTTTGTGGATGTCGGTATTGCCAACTACATTACAAAACTCCTCAAACGAAATCTTACCGTCCTCGTCTTTATCCGCAAACAAAATTGTCTTATCTACGATTTGCTGCAGTTGGGTGTCTTTCAAATTATTACCGACCATCATTTTCAACACCTAAAAACCACCCTCAGAAACAATCCCGAAACCCAACTAAACTCACTTGGAACAACTCCCCATTTGAGATGAAACCGTCGTTATCCATGTCGTAAATTCGGAACGCGAACCGCAGCTTAGACAGCTTGTCTCCCTTAACACTGAACTGCGACACTCCCTGGATAAATTCTGCAAAAACGCCTCCAAAATAACAAAACTGAACGACAAAAATAGCGATTTTACTTGTTACTTTTTTGTGCAAATTTGGTGAAAACGGGGCACTTATCGCCAAACAATCCGCGTTATTTTTAGTCTTTTATTTACATTCAAGTGTCTAAAATTAGCCCCACCTGAGTCATTTGAAATTTACAACTAATCCATGGATCACAATTCGCTTTATAATCCATAACCGCCCCCTTTACCTTTGAAATCCACTTCGCCATTGCCGTCGGCGTCGAAGATATCAATCACGCGCTGCACCAGAGGATTCTGCTGAAGCTCCGGCAGCGACATGAACTCGTCGATGCTGAGCGCCCCGGAATTGTCCAAATCTAACTTCCGGAATCGCTTTCCGAGGCGTCGTATCTCATCGGCGTCGACTAAAACAAGCGCATTGTATGGGGACACCACAAGTTTGGGTCAACTTACAGTTTGAGCATAGCTCCATGGGCAGGGAGCTCTCGTTACCCTGAAAAAAAAGCAAATTCGTGAGGGTTTTGCGACGGATGGGCTTGCCCCTAAAAGTAGGCTAGCCCACAACACGGGTCCAGGCCCGTCGAGGCTGCGCTATGAGACGTGGGGGCACTGTAAAAGGTTGTGGGGGTAGTACGTACCATGGTTGGCTGCTTTTCTGCACTTTAATGGTTAGAAAATCTGCTATTCCGAGATGTGTTTGCTAAAGGGACAAATATTACTGGAGCAGCGCAGGAGGCGCTGGCGTCGGCTAAATTGAAAAACAATCGAACGCGATAAAATTGAATTTTCCCGCCGTGGTATGCAATTTTTCTTTTTTTCGACAATGCCTTGAATAATCATTGAATAATTTATCAATTATAAAACTTTATTTATTAATGTTTAATGATTTTAATAAATTTTTTGCAAAATTGTAACAAACGCAAATTTTGTCTGGTTATGGATTCCTTATTATATTTTAGTTGAAATTTTGTTACATAAAGGGTTAAAGATTGTAAATAGATGAAAGTTCAACAATCATTTTAATCAAATATAAAATTTAAGCGTACTAATAGGTCAGCCTTGAAACTAGTGGAATTTTTTGCAGTTGTAGACCACATTGTATCTCTTTTCTTTGTCATTTCCGGTTTGTCTGTTTTTGAAATTACTAACAAATAATAATTTTAAAATTTCTTATCTCTCACCCATTTGCGGTTTTTTGGGTTTGTTCCTCTTGTTGTGTTTTCGATAATAATAATGAAGCGTCAGGACAACGAAGCGGATTCATAAAATCGAAAGTTCAATTTTTTTATTTTTTTTAATAGAATTTTTTTTCATATATTTTATTCATTATTATTACAGTATTATTTCTTGAGTTCAGATTGCAGAAAATCCTCGAATTTTCTAGAAATCAAAAATTTCCTCCCTTTCCTTTTTTTTAATACGCTTTCTCTTTCGTACTTATTTTATTTAGGCGGCTAGACAAAGATGACTAGATTCTGGAACCTTCCAGAATCAGTAACCTTCACTTTCCGCGGTTGGCAACAGTTAGTCTAAAATCAGAAAGCACGAGCTGTGAGTGATCGAGCGAAAAAAACCGGTACCTTCCAACTCCCAGTGCGAATAAACGCAAAATTTGTGTAATTCCCACTCGAAGAGAGTTCCACAGAGTGTTTTTGTGTTTAATTATTGCTATTTGATCATCCGGCGTTAAAATAAACGCGCACTATGGCGGCAATGTCAGTCATAGGAATCGACCTGGGGAACGAGTCTTGCTATGTCGCCGTCGCCAAAGCCGGTGGCATCGAGACCATCGCCAACGATTACAGTTTACGAGCCACACCGTAAGTACTTTACAGCCTTCCGATGACACCTCTTTGTAACCTTGATCCCCCATCACCTTATATGACCATGCTCGGGTTTACCGAAATTGGGAAATTGTGGGCGAATGATTGCTTGATTTTAGATCATTCATCGCCTTTTCGGACAAAAACCGAATCTTGGGGGTCGCCGCCAAAAGCCAACAAATCACCAACATGAAAAACACCGTTTATGGACTCAAAAGGCTGATCGGACGGAAGTACAGAGATCCCCACGTGCAGAGGGAGCTACAAATGTTGCCTTTTAACGTTATAGAAGTAGCACAAGGAAATATTGGTATTAAGGTTAACTATTTAAATGAGGAACACATATTCTCGCCAGAACAGTGTCTAGCTATGTTATTAACCAAATTAAAAGATATTTCATCAACTGCTCTTCAAACCCCTATTAACGACTGTGTCATCTCAGTTCCCTCATATTTTACCAATAATGAGAGAAAAGCACTCATGGATTCTGCGGCTATTGCTGGTAAATCATTTCCAGCTTTTATATTTACGTTTGTTTGATTAAAAATTATATTTTGTAGGGTTGAATGTACTCAGATTATTCAACGAGACGACAGCTACGGCCTTGTCTTATGGGATTTACAAGCAGGACTTGCCGGGGCCCGACGACAAGTCCCGTAACGTTGTTTTCGTTGACTGCGGTCATTCCTCGCTCCAAGTATTCGCTTGCGCTTTTAACAAAGACAAACTTCGGATGATTGCAACTGCTTCTGATGCATACCTCGGTGGCAGAGACTTTGATCTCGCTTTGGCAGATCATTTTTGCAAAGAATTCCAAACGAAATATCACATCGACGCTAAATCGAATCCCCGCGCTTTTAGCCGTCTTCTTGGCGAAGTAGAAAAAGTCAAAAAACAGATGTCGGCCAATTCCACATCGTTACCTCTCAATATTGAGTGTTTTATGGACGACAAGGATGTGCATAGCAGCATAAAGAGAACTGATATGGAACAGTTGTGTGCTCCTTTGTTCCAGAGAGTTGAAACGACTCTAAAACAATGTTTGGATGCGTCAGGGTTGAAATTAGACGAAATTTATTCAGTTGAGATAGTAGGCGGGTCGAGCAGGATTCCTGCTATAAAACAATTGATAGAGAAAGTTTTTAAAAAGGTGCCAAGCACCACGTTGAATCAGGACGAGGCAGTAAGCAGGGGCTGCGCCCTTCAATGCGCCATGCTTTCACCTGCTGTTCGGGTTAGGGAATTTAACGTTAAAGATGTACAGAATTATGCGATTTCGGTGTCGTGGGATGCCAGCACTGATGGGGAAGCTGCAGGGGAAGTTGAGGCCTTTCCGGTTAACCACCAGGTCCCATATTCAAAAATGTTGACTTTCTACAGACAAGAACCCTTCTCTATCAAAGCGATGTATTCCGGAAATGTTCCGTACCCTGATAAACACATCGGTAATTTTTAGAAACAATTCAAAGTGCCGATTTTTATACAATTTTTTTCAATACAGGCACTTGGATCGTGAAAGAAATTCGTCCGAACGCTGAGGGAAAGCCGCAGAAGGTCAAAGTCAAGGTCAGGATTAATCTCCACGGTATTATGACTGTGTCCAGTGCGTCGCTTTTCGAAGCGAAGGAATCAAGCGAGGCTGAAAACGATGAAACCCAGAAAATGCAGCAGGAGGAACAGGAAAAACCGGCGAGTCAGAATTCCACCAATCAGCAGAACGATGTCGATGCCCCTATGGCCGATGGCGTGAACAATGCGGCTCCTGAGGTAGGCTCCAGCACCAGCTGGACGAAGAAAATTTCTGCCTGGTTCAGCGGGGTACGCATTCGATCCCGGCAACGCTGGCCTGGCATATTTTCGTTCACTGTCTTGATTTGGTAAAACATTCCCTTTGGGGCGAGCCGCACTCGCATTCCTTTGTTATTTACAGCTTTTCTTTTTAATTGGCACTCTTTTTACCCCCATGGGTGTTCATTTTTCATAATATGTGTGAAGTTTGTTACGTGAAACTAACAGCCAACTTCACACTTCATTGCACTTGAATTTTTTTTTTCATGTCACTTGGGACAATTAAGGTAATAACATTATGTGTGGATGTTTGTAGGCCGGCAGTATGAAAAATTGTGGCCTGTTGGTGTGTTTGTTGATGGTAGTTTTTGGTGTTTCGGTGTGAAGTTGGAGCTGTCATTACGTCGTGGCTAACATGATTACATTCAGCTCACTTTTTGTTTTTTCTTATAGGATGGTGATAAAGACAAAAAGAAGAAGCAAGTTTTGAAGAGTATCGAATTACCTATTGAATCTCTCACCGCGGGCTTTTCTCAAGTTGAAATCAATCAATACACGGAGCAAGAATTCAAAATGATTGCTGCTGACCGTCAGGAGAAAGAACGAGCGGATGCGAGAAACGCGTTTGAAGAATACGTTTACGAATTACGTGGGAAATTGTCATCAGATGATGAATATGGTGCTTTCATTCTTGAAAATGATCGTTCGGTTCTCATGCAACAATTAGACGACATGGAAAATTGGTTGTATGAAGATGGCGCAGAATGCAACCGACAGGTCTATCAGGACAAATTAGCCGAACTAAAATCAAAAGGGGAGCCAATTCAGACTAGAAAAGTCGAGTTCGAGCTGAGACCACATGTTATTGAAGATTTCGCGAAATCGCTCCAGCTTACAATGAAAGCTTTAGAGGCCATTAAGTAAGTCTTGTTGTTTAGTCTGCTGTCGTTTGTAACAGTTTTGTTCCAGAGGTAACGATCCGAAATTCGCGCATTTGACAGAAGACGATGTGAAGAAGGTGGATAACGCGTTCAAGAATTCCTTCCAGTGGTTGGAACAAACAAGAGCGAAGCTTGTCAACGCGCCTAAACATTTAGCTCCACCTGTTACTGTATCTCAAATCCGGCAGGAGAAAAATGATTTTGAAAGCACAGTTAGCCCGATTTTGAATAAGCCACCACCAAAGGCGCCGTCGCCCCCGAAAGAAGAAAAGAGTCCCACAGATGAAACAACTCAAAATGCGCAAACTGATCAGAACCAACAGAATCAGCAGAATCAAAACCAGCAGGAGAATATGGACTGGTCGTCAGCAAATTAGGTGTAGTTAATATTTATAATGCTTGGACACAATTTTAAGAACGAGGCACGTGTAATCGTTCCCCTATGCTGTATTACTAGAAAATTTTCTTTTTATATGTTACTTAAACCATCGCATTGCTACATTTTTTTGAAAAAAATGTCTACAGATTGTTTCCTTAAAAAATGAAAGTCAGTTTGCACTGATTGTTTTTTACTGCATTTGGAGGGGAGTTTAAATTGTAGTTCTGATCGTAGCTTCATTCCATTTAAGTTATTTAACAACTCACTTTTGTTGTAATTTTTTATTTGAAAAAAAATTGTGTTTAATAAAATATTTAGAACAATTTAATAATACTGGACTTTTTTGAAACACGGCAGGATTTGCATGATCCCAAACGCCACTTCAGTCGCAGCCAACATGGTCATCATCGCACATAAAATATACTCTAATCTTGCGACAAAATGTTGCAGAAAAAACGTATAAAGACAGCCGGCGATTGTAAAAAACGTCATAAAAACAGCAATTCCGGTCACTAAATCTATAAAACAGACATTAACTTGCTCGAAATAAACAATATTTTACCTCGTTTTCTATCTTTAAATTTCCGATAAATTAGGATTTTCGCAATTTCGACAGCCAACACCGTAAAAATAACACTGGCGTCTTCCTCGATACCGGGTGTAGGGACCGCACTTTGCCACTTTGCGGCCACCAAAATTGTCTCACATATGAAAAATAGGGGGTAATAAAATACGTTCAAGTAAATTAGACATTCAAACATCAACTCTGCGTCCACCTTCATCGTGTATGGCTTCTCACTACTCAAATGTGCTATTTCCAGATCAGTTAACACGTTGGGGTATTTTTAGATCGTGTTTACAGGAGCGGAGCGCCCTCAAGAGGATTGGTGGTATCGATTGGGGCTGGTGTTAATTCCACTGAAAATAATACTTAAACCCCAACGGTGCTAAAATTTTAATTTTTTAAAGAGCGGTAAGCAGAATTTCGAAAATTGTACGGCGCCATCTGTGAGTCTAAATTCAAATTAGTAATTGTAAAAGCACCTCTTAAGTTTTACCAAGAAAATTATTATTTCTGTTTTATCACACACATTTATAATAGTTTTTCTGGCACTTTATATTGTTACTTGGATGGATATTCTGAGTATTTTTTTTGCAATAAACAAGAAGTTACGCCGTAGTTTTCAAATCAACCGCCATATTTGTTTTATAGGTATTTAAAAATTTGTTTTCAGTGAAAAAATAATGAGTTGCAGGGGTTTAAATGCTCTGGGCTTATCATGTGACAATTTTTTATAATATGTTTAAATTTTATCAGAAAAAGTGGTGGGGTTTGTCGCGGAAGTATGGATAATGCGCGTCACGCTTTATGTTTATCGTGACGTATGTAAACTGAGTGATGTCAGTGTCAAGATGGCGTGCATTTTATTTGTCAATGCACACAGGAGCGTAATTTCGAAAAGTAAAAGTTGTTTGTAGTAAAAATCGCTCAAAGTGATGTCCATAACGTCCAAAAGTGCAAATCCGTCGAAATGACCGGTGGTATGAATGCGGTAAATCATTCGCCCCCTCTTTACCAAGACCAGGGAGCCACAATCTTACCATGCAGCTCTCAAGACACGACTGCGCCCCCCAGCTACGAGGAGGCCATAAACCCCAATGGTAAAACCAACTTTCTAATTGAAAATTTCCACTGAATTAAATTTCCAGCGCCTCCACCTTCGTACGACTCCCTTTTCGGCCGGGTCCGAGAGGCCCAAAAGACCAGCAAGGGAGTGCTCGAGTTTTTGAAAAATATCATTATTATTGTTTTGGGAACATGTAAGCTGTGACATCACTTTGAAATTCATGGAGGTAATTGTGTGTTTTCAGTGGGGTGCACTGTTATTCTGGGTGTGACTATTGTGATTCCCATTTGTATGATTGTGATGGGACTGCTTTATTTGTACGACTGTCCACAAGGGGAGTATATCCCGGTTTATTTGTTGGTTGGGGGCATTTTTGGGGTGCTTAAACAGCTTCTGCATTTATCTGCGAGAGTGCGACAGACGGAAGAGGAGCGCCAGGAGGAGAGTCTGAGACAGTCACCGACGCAAACTCTGTTAAACTGCTTCATGCTTGGCTGGTTTATCATAGGTAAGTCGACAGGGTTTAAAGGGTACATTTGATTTGTTTTTGGGGGCATTACAGGATCCGTGTGGGTTTACAAAGAATATGAACCTAATTATAATCCAACCGAGGGCCAATATTGCAATAAAAATTTGTATTTATTTGCTTTCTGGCTGATCACTTCCGTTTATATTCTTTTGGGTACCATCACTGTATGTCTTTGTTCCATCAGTATAGCCACTGTGGTTTTCCATACAGATCATAGGGACAACGATTTGAGGTCGGGCTCGTTTTGACGAGGCGTTGCTGCCATGTTTTTAAAACGTCTGTGATAAAAATGATTTTTTATTTGTTTGTTAAGTTTATCGGTGAGTTGTGTTTCATGACATTTACTTATTATTATTAAGGTATCGTGTAATCATTACTAAAATTCGCTTTAAAAGTGTACAAATTATGACGAAAAATTGTTGTATTATTGAAGACTGCTTCCGACGCTTTAGTGTTAAACGTGCATTCCAATAATTATTAACATCATGCCGGGAAGGGTTGTTTCGTAATTACGTTTTTATTGGTTGTTGTGATACGGTTGCATTTAATTCATGTTTCAGCTCGAAATAAATTACTCAATTTTTTTCAACTATTTATTTTATTAATTGTATGCAGTGATGACGTCGCACATTTTATAAATATACAATTGTAAATATCAAAACACGTTTTATTGAAACCTGAACCTTAATCCTGTCGATATTTGTCACAAAAATACGCAGTGGCTAAAATAACGAAAGCGCAAAACTGAAAAAAAATAAAATAGTGTCGGATTTTTCCGATCGATTTCATTAATATTACTTGTATGAACAATGCCACGCAATTGATTCCGCTAAACAGGCACGTTTGCAAGGCTAAAGTCGCTGTTATTATTTTTAAACAACCTGTCGAGGACGTGGAATTATCACGGCAACTTGCGGCCTGGAATTGCCATTAGCGATAGTTAGCACATCACTATTTCGATCGAACAGTGAATTTTTGTGCGACTCTCGCACACTAGGAAAATCGCTAACAAAGTTGAATTTTCCTCTTTAAAAATTGGAATCAATTAGTCAAGTGCGAAAAAAACCGTTTTGTTTACGATAATTGAGGAAATTAATGACTGATGGGACAATGGTAAATTTAATGAATGGCAAAAAAAAAACTCGTAAATAATCATTTAGTTACGCTTCGGTGTAATAATTTACAAATTGCTTGAATCATCGACCTTTCGCTTGGTCAATAGTTTATCTATTGTTATGACGTTGCGTATTGAAGGTGTTGTTACGATTATATCACGTAAATTTATTTCATCATTAGTATTTTTTTTTCATGACGGGAGCAATAATTTTTTTAAAGAACAAAGGACACAAAGATGATCAAAGGTGAATGCACCTGAATTTTGAATTAAAAGAAATGTTAAAAATTGTGTGTTACGATAGATTGGATTTTCCAGAAATAATTATTGCTTGTTTGGATATGAAAATTACCAGCTTTTATTTTATTATTCATTTTATAAGAAAGAACAAACAATTCATCAACGAATCGACTTTAATTATACCACGAGCGAAACTACGTTTTCATCGTGTGTTTATGGCAAGGGGATAATTTATTGCCTCGTGTTCGTGACTGAAATTTGAATTTCGGTTGTGATGCCCTCTGGTGGACAGTTTTACAGCTTGTCATCAGCAATTTAATAAAATTATTCTAAAATTGCGGAAAACAAACGCCCTACTTTAATTACTTATTTATCAAATTATATTAATTTATGGATACATACCTAATTGATATTTAGATTTCTGGAAAAGTAAGTCTTGAATTTTTTTGGCTATGACTAAAAAATAAGAGCTTTTTGTGTAAAAAAATGTATAAAATGTTGAAAAAAAAATTTTCGTAAGGAAATCATTTAAAAAATTTGCCAGCGGTCGCTCCTCAGTGTTTCATAATTCTTTTTTTACATGTTTAAATGTCTTTGCGGTTTTGTAAAATTAAAAATTTTTTCGTTTAATTTGTTCCTCTTGTGTGATTGTAAGTAATTTATGCAATAACTCTTTCCGTCCAAGGAAGTGTAAAAGCAAACAATCGGATTTGTGAATAGAAACCTAGTTTTTTCGGTCAGATGTTGATCGGCTTAAAAGAAAAACAATTTCGAAACACTGTCAAGTTAATTACTTACCATTTCTAGAAACGATTAAAGCTTTTAACGGTCTTAATTAAGCATAACATTTGAATGAATTTTGTCTTTCAAATTCAGTTAGTTCCTCTTCCGGTCTCGCGTGACCTATTGCATAAAAATGCAACAATTTTCTAAACTCTGCGATTCCGAAACACAAACAATTCTCAAGTATTTAGCGAATTTAAAACATTAAAGTTTACTTAAGTCGCAATTTCAAATATAAAATAACGGTCACCGGTTGTGCAACTTCATTTAAATTTTCCAACAACAAATCAACCTTTGTTAGCGATTTTCCCAGTTGTACCTTTCTCCGGCAACACGATTCCGGAATTCGCTGAATAACCGGCAACCAATCGGTGTAATTATCAACTCCACAGCATCCCAATTTCGTTTGGATGTCATCCCAAATTGCTGTTTTGTTCATTGATCCTTTCATAGTTTCGCGAAACTCGGCTAAAACCAGGCTGGAATCAATTTGACTCGACTTCAAATGCAACTTGTGTGTAAATCCGATGTAAACTCCTATTACTAACAAGACGGTCGAGAAGGTTAACAAAATCAAAACCAACGACAGGTATTTGTACGATTTTTTGTCATTGTGGACCGAAAGGACTATCCAGAAACACAGTATACAGAAAAATGAGACGGGGAGGGCAAAATAGGCCAATTCTGTGGAAAAGTCAACGAAAGTGTATCGGTTTTTGGACAAGAGGGACCAGGTGGAGACCCCAACTAAACCCAGACTTAAGACCTGCAAAAAATAGCCAAGGATTGAAAAATTAAGTTTCAATTTTGTAAAAACCAGAAGTAAGACACCTGCGAAGAAAAGTAAAAATTCGGATGTGCTGATTATGTGTCCGGTTTGGGCGTTGGGGTATATAGGAGGGGCTCGGTTTTTGTGCCATGGGACGAAAAACGAGGCCAAGGAGTCGGAATCAGGGATTTTTGACTACAAAAATGGTGTCAAAAACCAAAATATTGGTCAGTCGGGGATTTACCGTTGATCGTTTGATTTTGTTCATCATAATTTTGAATAAAATTGTGTTGACGTGACGGAAATGTGGCATTTGTTACGACTTGGGCGTGTTTTAATTAATTTTGACGTATCTGGGGAATAGGATTGTCTGCACGGCAATTTTTTATAGCATGTTAATTAAATTAATTGTAATAAAATAATTGTTTGAGAATTAAATTTATTATTATTGGATCATAAAACGAATAAATTATCCATGCAAGACAGCATTTTAAGGCTCGGGAATAACTTTTCCTATCTTTGTTATTCATGTTAGGAACGATTTGCTTGTATTGTGTTGTGTATCTTTAATCTTTCTATTTTTTACGCTTTGAATTAATAATTGTTGAAGAAAAAATGCAATAATGATGATTGCTAATTAATGAACATTGGTTACAAACATTAAATTGATTACCACGCTTTTATAAAAGAAACACACAATTACATTAGGAAAATATTTCAAAAAGTGTATTTTTAACAAAATACTATGTAAGAGTTCCCAGCGTTGGGAATGTATCGAGCATTTTTTTGTAATGTATTAATTAGATTACGAGTAAATGTATTAAAACACGCAAATATTATAAAAAAACATTTATTTTAATGATTAATCTTATAATTAGTTTAGATAAATACATTTGAAAAAGTAAAACACAAAGAGACTTGGACTTATTCGAGCATTTTGAAAAGTACACAGGAAAAGATCATTCCCAAAATCTGCAAAAATAAAACAATTACAAAAACTCAAGTACAATATTTTCCAACTTGCCATAAGGCAGGCTACTACGATCCCCGCCGACCCGATGATAACCGCATGCTCCTTCACATACTCCTTAGTGACTTCCAAACAACCCCTCGTATATAGTGTGAACGAATTTTGATTCTCCACCAATAAATTGCATCTCTGTCTCCTTCCTAACACCGGTTTGCAGCACGAATCCGGGATGTTATCCCTCCAGTCCTTCCAGTCGTTGACTCCGCAACACATAAGTCGGCTCTGGGTCTCATCCCAGGCCTCTGTCACGGGTCTGTAATTCCCATAGGACTTTAAAGAGCCGACCATGCCATTCCTGACAGTCGTATCGACTTTCTCCCGGAAAACGTAACCGAGGATTCCCCCGATTAGCATCGTGACAAAAATAAGGAACAAAGCGATGAAGTACTGGAAAGTTGCGATGAGAGAAAGAAAGGAAAAGTGGGCCATAGTACCGTGACTAGCATACAGCGGACTTCTTTGATAGCGCCAAAACAACCAAAACAGGAGATGAAGGAGACCAAAAGTCCAGTGATGACGAGGACGTAAGCGGCGCCAGAGTAAAGATTGGTGCCCAGAAGTTCGTTGGCGAAGGACTTGTCGATGACGGTCCACAGGCCTAAACCGGCGACGATCAAGCCGCCCAACTGTTTTGTTTTGTTTTTTTTTTTAATAAAGGGAGTTATAGAATCAGTTTGAGTACATACTAGTATTATTATGTTGACAATGAAGAGGCTATACTTCATGATGTTACCGCAGCCATCCATTCGGCGGCCAAAAGCCATTTTGGGGCTAAAAAAGTATTTAAATTTAAAAGTATTTAAATCTCTGAGTGAGTCAGGCGCACACTTTCACTTGTGCTACTTAAGTCAGATTAGTCATATGCCTTGAATAAAAATCAAAATTTACTTATGGGACACTCACATGTATTTTTGGGTGGTTGAAGAAGAAGAGGAATAGTCACGTTGTACGACGCCACACACCTGTATGTTTTGTTTGTTGTTTTTGCGTGTCGCCCCTCCACTCCTTGTGGTCAATAACGACCAAATGAATCAAGAATCACGCCTTTTGCCTATTACTCACCTTTATCAGAAATTTCGACTAGAGAAACTTTGTTGACTCTAATTCTTACAAAAAAACTAATTACATACAAACAAATCAGAGAGAGTAAAAAGCAGTGAAAGTTCAAATGTGATTAATTAAATTCACGGTCACGGACCAGGTGTGCGTTTAACCCAATTATTTGAATTTGCCGCTTCAGTGTAGCCAATTCACTTAACCTTAAAATTAGCAAGTTATGATTTTTGTGCAAAATTATTGTTAATGAAGGCGAATAAAATGATCGGTAGTTATTATTTTGTGATCGTGGGTCACAAAGATTTGCCTTTGTTTGAAATGGAGTTTACTAATAGTAAAGACCCCAAGGTAGGTTTGGGGACGCCCCCTTGTCTTGTTCAAGCTGGAAGGTTTTAGAAGGAGGACCACCGACATTTAAACCAATTCATTGCCCATTCCGCTTTAGATCTAATTGATGAACACAAGTGGAAGACCCATAATATGAATTTAAAATCAGTGGATAAATTTAACCAGTGGTTTGTCTCTGCTTTCGTAACGGCGAGCCTGATTAGGTTTGTTATGGTTCATGATAATAGAAATGATGATGGCATTAAGAATTTTTTTTCCGAAATATACGAGGCATACATCAAACATTCCCTCAACCCGTTTTATGAGGAAAACACCGTGATCAAATCAGCCGCATTTGAGAAAAAGGCTCAGTTGTACGGAAAAAAGTATCTTTCTGTATAAATAAAACAACAAATAACAACAATATTTTAATATATAAAATTACACAATTTCCTGCCCTAACAAAGAAAGTTGCTTTAAAAATTGTTGTGCATTGGCGAGCGTGGACGACCCGTAGGTTATCCGTTTGGTGCTCCCCGCCGCAGTTTTTTGTTTAGCATAGTCCACTAAATTCTGATATTCAATATAATTGCCCCCACCGACAACAAAAACGATGGCGTCTTGGAATGGCGAACGGTTACGTGGGATTTCCGTCACTTTTAACTGTTTGGGGTCAAGGTAGTGGTACTCGTCCATTTCCGGACTGTTTTTGAACTCCATTAAGTGATCCACAATACGCGTCACTGGTAAATTCTACAAAGAAAAATTGTTTAGAGGATCCTACCGACTGCACCCAAAACCTACATGTCGCTTAATTACTAAATTTTTCACTCCCTCCATCACGAAATTAGAGCCATGGGAGACCAATTTTGAGAACATGTTGACTGTTTTCGTACCGGCGCCTTCGTATTGGTTGGAACCGGAGGCCATTTTTGCGTAACTCCTAAAAATTATTTTTTTTTCTTGTGTAAAATCGTAAATGGTCTTCTTACTTCCATCGTTTTATGTAATGAATCGGTGATAAGTCACAGCCGGCCTCTGCTAAGGCCGTCTCATACCGTTTCAACTCACTCTCACTCATATGCGGGCTACAAATATAAAAAATGATAAAAAGCCTAATCTTGTCCTCTGGGATTCCCGTTTCCGGGTCCACGATTAAGTCAAAGATTGTTTTTTCCAACGCTTGAGTTTTACTCATGATTTTTTCTTCCAATTCGAAGAAATTATCCAATTTCCGCGATTTAATTCCATTGAGAAGTGCTACAATTTTTTAGTGAAACGCAATTTCCGGAATTGTTGACACTAACCTGTCGCGAGTGTTGTATGCATGTCAATTAACCGTTTCTTCTCTAAAAGTTGCGGAAGTGAATTTACTGCTGACGTAATTTTTGCCGTATTATCTGAAACTAAAGACAGGGCGATGTCGCTGTCTCCATCAATCCCCATCGAACTTTTCAATTTTTTCACTTCCTCTTCCGATGATTTGTACTGTTCTAACTCTTCCTGGATAGCTTCGGCGACTGTGGGAAATGGCGAACCTTTATGTGTTGACCAAAATTTGTCCTTCGTGTCCAATTCGCAAATCCGATTTTTCGAGCGCACCCCTGAAAATTCCCGTTGGAATCCAATCAGAGAAAAAATAAAGTATAAGACCTCCACTTGGAACACTTTCTTCTATAACGACACGATTCAGGTTTAGGTTGAGTAAATCGTGTGCTAGGGCTTGATAAGTCCAAGTGTGGTGTAGAGGTGTGGCCATATCGACATTTCGGTCCAATACGATTAAAAGGGGTCTTTGGAAATTAAAATTTCCAGCTTGGGCATCCGAATGAAGCAAATTATTCCTTGCGTCGGCCAAATTTTCGCGGAGTTTTTTGTCTAATTTTCTCGCGACCATTTCAGCGGCGTTCCCTTTAGGGCTACGGATGATCGGGACTGTACCTAAAGTGACGAAAACGGAGAACAAACAGTCGACTATTTTGTCCATGATTTCGTCCATTTCTGTGTCTTTGGTGTCTCCACGATTAATCGCTGAAATGTGGTTAAATTAGTTAAAAAAAATTGCTTGTATTAAAGAAAATTAACCGTAATATGATAGGGCGTCACTGTTTTGGTTTTTTAGGATAAACATGTCATCATCTAGCGAAATAAAATTAACGTATTGATCATAAACCTGAAAAAAAAGTTTTTTCTTTTGATTCATTAAAGGATTGTTTCACTTTGTGTATGTTGGCCACGCAGTTAGCTTGCAAGGCTGCCGAGGCAAGATCTTCCAATTTTTGTCGTGAAATGGCAGAAATGAAATTTAAATGATAGATATCATAGACCCCTTTCTGAAAATCTTGCGCTATCCGTCCCAGATTTTCCTCAGTGGGGGCACAAAAATAAACTGCGGGAACTTCAGGTATAGGGTCACGATCTGAGTGCAACTGACTACAAATTCACGCATTAGGAACAGAACAGTCCCCACAAGGTGTATATTTACACAAATAATGTTACTCCTAATTCTCTCAATTCCTTGACTGATATTAATACCGAAATAATGTCCTGTCCTACATTATCGTATACTAATACTTTCCACTTTGGTTCCGAAGCGGTTAATTTACTTTGGGGTTGGTTCAAATTTAACATTTGTTTGAGAGCATCTAAAAAGTGGGGTTAGGTGTTTTATAAAATTCGAATTAAAACACTTACTGATTTGTTTTTGACGTAGTGTAGTCATTGTGGGGCGAATTTGACACAAGGGGATGATATAAGTGTTGTCTTGTTTTAAGAGAGTGATTTTTTTTGAAAATTTCGCGATAAACAGCTGACGTGTTCATTTGACAACTACCCCAATTGCCAACACCAAGAAATTAAAATTGTGACATAATTGAGTTCATTCGTGTACTAGAGTCTTCAAGTTTTACAGAATTTAAGTTATGTTACTTTTTTTAGCTTTGGAATCCATGCGAGACGAGTTAGGGCCCCCGAAAATCATTTTCGTTCTTCCAATAAAACTTAGTATGTTGGTAACAGTGTACAGGTGACGGGACGGCGATGTGTCACTCCTATTTGTCAAAATTACAAATAATTAATTAAGGGATAAATTCAGTGTTAAATTATTTCAAAGGGTGATTTCTTGTGCCACAACCCCGTTGAAGTGTTTCTGTGTTAATTCGTGATATTTTAAATTGACTTGTTAGAAAACTGTCCCCTGAGAACATATGTGAAAGTCCAGTTTTCGCCCCCATTACATGTTTAATCTCTCTGTGTAAAAATTCAAGAATGCGATGCTCCCTAGAAGACGCCGCGCTGGCTCCGAAACAGAGCCTTTAGTTGTTGTTCCTAGCGATAATCACTGGACGAAAGAATCTAACCTCAATTACATAAACAGTGCATATCCTAACAATGTGTCTCAGGATTATTACTTAGAAGACGAGTTTCCAACCGAGGAGTACGTTGAACCAGAACCAGTTATGGCGGCAAGAGATAGGACTAGCGAATTTATCAATACCATACAAACTTTACAAGGGAGGAGTATTCAAAGAGCTGTGGCTGTTAGGGACCCCAAAAAGTCCAAAGCCATTCAAATACACTCCGAGTTTATGTTAATTGCGAAGAATATTGGCCGGAACATTGCTAGCACGTATACCAAACTTGAGAAATTAACTCTTTGTAAGTATTTTGTTGTAATTATAATTTTTATCTTATCATTTGCAATGGGATTACATTTGAATTTTGTTCAATTCATCCGTCTCTGTAAAGTAATTGTTAAGTTGGGTCTAAATGGCCAGTTACGAAATAAAAAACCTTAAGGACGTACTCAATCCAGCTATTAAAAAAATTGATTTTGTTAGTGCTTCAATTTCAAGATTGACTTCAGCAGGTGACAACTACGTCAGTCTAATTTTGGCCATTGATATAACCGTAAGAGGACAAAATAAAAGAATTCGAACAGTTGCCAAACTTTTACCCCGTAATCCTTACATTCAGAAACATTTCAATAGTCAATATTCGTTCAGGAACCAAGTTGCTTATTAATCATTCCTTGTTTGAAACATTTCTAAAGAGAGCAAGGCTTAAGCGAGGTAATTAATTCCGTCCCGGATTTTTACGGTGCAAGACTTAATCTAGACCCACCAACCACAAAAATTGATGAAAATGCGATTCTACTCCTTAAAATTATCCTAGATGAAGGTTTTGTAACAATTGACAGAAAAATTGGTTTTGATTTGAACCAGGCTAGATCAATTTTGGAGAAATTATCAAAACTTCACGCCACTGCTTTGGCTTTGAAGATCCACAAACCGGAGATTTTCTTTTCGGAATTTTGCCCATTTTTGGAGGAATTCATTGTGAAGAAGACAGTAACCGAACACGTGAATCTATAATTGATCTGATAGTAGGTGACGAAAACGTGCCAAAAATTCTCCAAATTCTCAAGGCGAATGCGAATTTTGTCACTCTAGAAAAAACAGAAATTTAAAAACCGAGTAATTTTGTAACTGTGAGTTACGGCGATTTGTGGATCAACAATGTAATGGTGAAAATGGAAAATGGGGGAAAACCGTCGATGTGAAATTTGTTGATTTTCAAATATACGAATACATATCTTTGGCTAAAGATGTCATTTTCTTTTTGTTCCCTAGTCAGGAAATGTCGACAATTGAAAAAAATTGCGATGCTCTTTTGTTCTGGTATTATGAAAGTTTTTTAAGAAATTTAGGAATTCTAAAGTGTGACGATTCCAACACGTTTGAGAGTTTTGTGGACGAAATCGGCTATATTTTGAGGATATTTTGTTAATGTTGAGACCGATTTATGCCGACGGAAAAGTTAAAGTAACTGAAGAATTGAATAAAGAAGATTTTGTTCGGCAGGGAACTGAATGAAGCTCCGAAGTGATGTAAGGAAAAAGCTCGTTTCATGGTCCGTGAATGTATTCGCCGAGGGTGGATTTAGTTCTTATACTATATTTTTTCTACCGCCTAGTATAAAAACAGTAATAAATACGATCAATCGATAAAAAGTGCTAACTAATGTTCAGAAGTGTTTTATCATCGTAAAAGCTAAATAAAACTTATACAAATACAAATTTTGTATTTTTCCTCTATTGATACAATGACGAAGTAACATTAATTATGGTTACATCAAGTGGGGATAAAGATTCGAGCTCAACCTTCATGATAATTACGGAAATCAGTCATTCTGTACCTTTATGAGTTGATAGATCGCAATGGCGATTCGCGAAATAAAAAATCTCGACGAATTAGTTTTTGGTTTTGTTGAGAAGTCGAATTTTATCGGTGCGACTATTAATACACTGACTGCAGCTGGTGAAAACTATTGCAGCGAATTACTGGCCGTAGACATCTCAGTGCGTGACGGCGAAAACACGAAAATTATTCGAACAGTAGCAAAACTATTACCGCAAAATGAATTCGTTCAAAAACTCCTTCAAAGCGAGCGAACTTTCTTCCTTGAGGTGGAATTCTATAAAACATTCGTCCCTTGCTTGAGACAATTCCAACAAGAAAAAGGCTTTACGCAACTATTCAATGCGTTTCCGGAATTTTATACCGCGAGGTTTAACCTTGAACAAAATTCGGAAAAAATCGACGAAAACGCCGTTTTGGTGATCAAAAATTTAAAAGACGAAGGATTTGTGATTTTGGACCGTAAAGTTGGATTTGATCTGGATCAAGCGAAACCAGTTTTGGAGAAGATGGCCGAATTGCACGCCACTGTTTTCGCTTTGAGGGCCCTCAAACCGGAGGTTTTTGACTCGAAACTCGGGGAGTTATTCGAGGAGTTTGTAATGTATGAAGCGCCGAAAGAAGACCAGCGAAAGTTTGTCGATTCGTTGTTGAAATTGATCGAGGATGATGATTTTTGTGCGAAAAACATGGATCGGATTAGGGATACACTTCTCAAAAGTTGTGAAATGACCAAAAAGAAAAATGACAAAGCGATGAAACACCGATTTAGCAGTTTTTGTCACTTCGACATGTGGACAAATAATATTATGGTCAAAAGTGCGAATGGGATAATCACAGATGTGAAATTTGTCGATTTTCAAATTTATGAGTACAGTTCTTTAACAAGCGATGTTCTTTTGTTTTTGTTTACCAGTGTCCAATTGTCGGTGATTCAGTCTGAATTTGATAATTTGTTGATATTTTATTACGAGAATTTTATTAAATATTTGAGGAAGTTAAAATGTGACGCTTCGGGACTCACTTTTGAGGAATTTTTAAACGAAATGGCAATAGTGGCCAAAACAAGAGAACTTATGCATGTATTACTCATGATACAACCGATTTATAGAGACGAGAAAGATGCAAAAGAGGTAAAAAACATGAGTAAAGAAGATTTCTTACGCAACAATAAAGAACAAATTTCACAACAATGTAAACAAAAAGCTACTTATGTTGTACATGAATTTAACCGAAGAGGCTGGTTGTAGTTTTTTATAAATAAATTAGTTTTAATAATAGTGTTTTTCAATAGACTAAAAAGACACTATAGTTTTTATATTTTAGTTATAATTTTAAATTTATAATGTAATTATAATGGTGTGCTTTAATTGAATTAGAAAATGATTAAACAATATAAAAATTCCCCTAGTGGCGAAACGAAAATCCCTTTTTGACGACCGCACCGCCGAAATCCAGGAACTCACTTACATCATCAAGGGTGATTTGAGCTCCCTCAACCAGCAAATTGCCCAGTTACAAGATGTGTCCAAAAAACACAAGAACTACACCACTGGCAAACACCTCCAGTCCCATTCCAGTAGTGTTGTTTTGGCCTTACAATCAAAGTTGGCGACAATGTCGACCGATTTTAAGCAAATTCTCGAAGTCCGGACAGAGAACCTCAAGCACCAGAAAAGTCGGCGAGAGCAGTTTTCGCAGGGAGGACTCCCTCCGCCTCCTGTGCCCTCCTCGAGTCAAGGTAGTTGTCGCGTTTTTGTTTTCAGTCTATTGTTTTGTTTGCGTAGGGAGTTTGCTACTTCAAGAACAGGACCAAGTTAGTATCAACGTAGAGGGTTCGGCGATGGTGCCCCAAAGGACTCAAATGCAAGCCGCGCTGATGTATGACGAGACGGACCAGTATTTGCAAAGTCGCGCGGAGACGATGCAGAATATCGAGTCGACGATTGTGGAATTGGGGGGGATTTTCCAGCAGTTGGCACATATGGTGAAGGAACAGGAGGAGATGGTGGAGAGGATAGACACGAATGTGCAAGACGCCGAGTTGAATATCGAGGCTGCTCATGCCCAAATTTTGAAATATTTCCAATCGGTGACATCGAACAGATGGCTCATGATAAAAATTTTCGGGGTTTTGATTTTCTTTTTTATATTTTTTGTCGTTTTCCTGGCGTAATATCCGGTGGGACTATTTTATATCGTTATTAGATAGGTAAAAGCAAGTGATATTGTTATGTAAAAATTATCAGAGACAATATATTATAAATAAAACAGATGATACAACTACACTTTTTATTAAAAAAAAAAAACAATTTAATATAAATTATAATTGGAATTGAACTACTTTTTTGCGTCTTCTTCACCGGATGACGTACTCGTGGCCATTCGAGGGTTTTTTGGCGGAATTGTGTAATCGAAAGGCTTACCTAATTTTTCATACACTTCCTTGACTCGAACTATCGCAGTTCGGTTTAGGTGATGTAAACCAGCGTCTTTCAAGGCAACTTCGAACGCCAAAACGATTTCTTCAGTGTTGTTTTTCACAACCAAAACATCAAGTAAACAACTATAAGCGTTGCCGATGGCTCCTTCAGTCACGTTACTATTTTTCAAATGTTTGATTAATTTTTTGATGAGATTTTCGTCTTGCATCTCGCGGGCTGCATGCACTATCCTTTGGAACATGATCCTGGGGGCGTCTTTGAGATAAGTATTCCAAATCTGTTCCGCTTTCGGTTCATTCCCTATAATAAAGTAGTTGGTCCAGAGAACATTCATTGGCGCCACTATGCCCTTTTGGGCATACTTAACTGCGAGATTTTCATCTAAAAAACAAAATTAAGAGACCTTGAGACATGACTACAGTTCGACTTACATTTTTCCAACAATTCGGGATGACGTTCTAAAATACCGTAAGCACCTCCTCGGGGAAACTTCTCTTCAATCATCTGCAAGTCCTCATTTTTGGCATTGTCGATTTCTTTTTCTAATTCATCCAAGTACTGTGGGGCTTTTCCGGCTATTAAATTCGCATGGCACACCCGATTATCAAAAGAAATTGTTTTCTTAACGTCTTGTGATACTTTTTTATCTATGATCGCGAGGGAGTCCAAATCTCCCACATTTGCTAACTTATTTAACAAAAATTTGAAAACTCGAGCAAGCGGAGTTGCCCCTGTATCCAATAAATGCAACGTCACTTTCGTCGCTTCACCAATTCGGTCATTTTGAATCAACTTTTCGATAAGTATGGACGTATCAGTGACTGTAAAACTGAGGTCGGTGGGATTATAATATTGCAAGGCTGCTTGTACGTCTCCTTCTTTTAATTTCCGGCGAAACAATTGAATTTGTGACTTTTCTGGCACCACATGTGGGGTGACTGATTTCGGAATTTGAAACGGTACTGATACGCCTTTGTCTTGTAAAAATTTCCCTAAACTTATCAAAAACTCGTCAGTCGGTAACAAATCCTCTTCTTGCATTTGCGTCCAAAGCCCTAGAGCCTTTTCCACTTCCTCTTGCTTGATATAACTCAACAATAATTGGTAATAAATGTCGCTCCTATTAATATGATCCAGGTCTTTGGTGGCGTCTTTCAAACTTTCAAGAGGCTTAACTTGCCCTTCCTGTCGGTATCTTTCGCACCTATTGTTGATTCTTTGGGGACGGGTTTGGAGACCTGGAGTTTCTAAAATTTTTCGGGCTTGTCTCACTCGTCCACACTCGACAAAAGCGAACACCAAATCGTAAAGACTGTTAATTTCACCGTGGATGGAGGTCGACAAATCGGTCAATTTTTGCAACTTCTCAGCGTCTTCTCTCTGGATTAGTTGGCAAGCCAACTCGTTTTTCCAGGGTGTTGCCCGGAATTGGTTAACACACCATTCGAATTTTTCCATGGCCTTGTCTATATCCTTATTGACCAAATGAACCTTCACTAGAGGCCCCAAAATGATATTATTTACTTCGACAAAGTCGTTTTTGACCAAAGTGTCGAAAAGCTTGTTCACATCATCGACTCGACCTTCATCAGCTAACGAATTCAACAATCGCCACACTTGGGCCGAGTAGTTGTAAGTCCGTTCTTCCCTAGGAGGGTCACGTGGGGTATTTTCGATAATTTCAATCGCTTGATCGAGTTTGCCATTCCTGACCAATAGGTGGGCAATCGACACGATTTTAGTTTCATCCATCTTAAAGTTGTTACCTTCTGTATCTTTCAATTTATTATAATATTCCATGGCCTTGTCTAACTTGTCATGATGGGCGTACAAGTCGGCAAGTTGGGCATAAATCCCCGGTGAATACACGAAATCGGTTTTTTCTAATTCGGCCAAAAGTGACTCGGTCTTTTCCAAATCTTTCTCTCTGTAATACAAAGTTAACAACTGTCGTTTCAAACCTTTAGTATCTTGATTTTTAGCCTCCAGATTATGAATGAGACGTTCCAGTTGCTCCACATTCATCTGATGCGATGGGGTATAAGATGGAAGTTTTTTCGGGACAGGAACTGGGATCAAGTGACCAGAAGTCAATTTTCCAAGAAGACTGGAAATTTCCTCGGTCATTTTCTCGCCAAGTTTTTCCTGAAGTTTCTCAGCCGCCGTCGTGGAAATACTCAAGCCTTCAGAAATCAAACCTTTAAGGACGTCCTCAATAACGTTGAAAAATTCTCGATTCCCGGCTAAATCTAAAATTAAGTTACCCACAACTTCGGTTTTATTAACTGTTTGAGTCGATTCTTCCTCTTCGGTACGTTTAAGACGGTCTAAATTGTCATAAATGTTCCGAACCAATCTTATATAACTCTCCAAATCTTTGTTTTTGTAGAAAGCACTAGTCAAGGGACGTTTCAATAAATCCGGATTGTAGAAAGCCGAAACTTGCGTTGAAATAATCGCGGCTTCTTTTATGTCACTTTTATTTAATAAATGATGAACGAGACAAGCCCCTGACATCCCTAATGACACATTTGCCGACCGCAAAATGGACAAAATTTCACTACTCGGTCCTTTCAAATTCGGAATTACGTACTCTCTTAATGTTTCGCTGTTTGGAGTAATGTTAAATTTCTGCATTGATAGAAGAACTTCGAGTATTCCTTGTCCAGACGGATCTTTACTTTTCGCGACTATTAAAGGCCAGAAATAGTGTTGCCTAACGGGAATGTCTTTTTTACTCAATTCGGTTAATAGAGGATAAGCGAGTGCATCGTTTCCCAATTCTAGACTTGTTTCAGCGGCGAGTGACAACCCACGTGTGTACAATCCACTACTTTCCAATTTATTGCACATTTCGATAATTTTTTCAAACGGTCGGTTCGCCTTGACCAATTGTTTTACAAAGAAATTACCCACAGGACTAAGTGTCCCATCAGGAATTGTTGATCTTACTATGGTTCCAAGAACAAGGAAAGCGGCATCTTCATGTTCTTTGTTAATCAGACGCAAAATTAAATTAATAGCATCTTGGTTATAACCCATTGCACGTCTGACTTTACTCAAGATTTGAGGTATGTGTTCGCTGTGGCCATTGGTGGCCAAAGCGTACACAATATCAAGATAATCTTTATCCAAGAGATAGATTTCTTTGCTTTCGCACTCTTCAAACAGTTTGTTGATTGCGTCGATGTCACCCTTTTTGCCGTAACCGCATAAAAGAGTGGTGTATGTGTCTGCACTGGGCTCAAGGCCGGCCTGCGTCATTACCCCCAAAATGCCCTGAGCTGAGTCCATATCTCTGTAGTAGGCAACCAACAATACATAAATTATCAATTATGAACTATTAATGCAAGAATCACTTACCCACTCTGCGAGTGACCCACGATAAGCGCATTGAAGACATTTTCGTTGACTGGAAGTTGTTTCTCTTTCATAAATTCAAGGATCTTGGTCGCCCCTTCAATATCCCCCACTTGGCAATACCTTGCGATTAATCGTTGATAAGTGACGCGATTTGGCTCAATCCCCTTACTTTCCAAGTCGGCCAAAAATTCCGTAGGTGAAAATTGGTGCTCATTTTCCAAATACACTCTCAAAAGCGCGTTGTAATGTGAAATGTCCATGGGGACATTTAACTTGTTTAGAGTGGTCCAAATCTCCTGGACGAGTTTGGTGCGCACTTCCGGGAGTTCCTCCGGGACTAGATTTCCGCAGCATCTTATTACGAGAAGTGACTGGGAGCTGGTGGCTGATCTACTGCTTCTGATCTCATCTAGAACATCTTCAATATCACGCCGAGAGATTCTCCCAACTTTCCTCACGTCTTGGTCGAGTCTTCTGAGGCTACTTTCGAGGTTTTGGTCGTGTTGTGCCGGTATTTGCGACGCGAAAGAGCTACAAGAGGTTATTGCGTAATGTTGGATGAGCGCCGGTTGAGGAGACTTACCGCGGAATTGCGCCGCAAAGACATTGTGTGGTGTTGACGAGGTTCCCATCGAACTCTCGAGGAGTGTTCAACACTACGTTTCTTGCAAAACCGGCGATATATCGGACGAATTTCGAAGAGCGTAAAATCGAAGCCATGCTTCTCGTGGTTTTAGAGGAAAACTAGGGGATTTACGTTTCGAGTAAGCAAACCTGATTTAGCAATTTCAACGAAATAAATTATTTTAGTAATAAAATTACTCCAACAATTTTTATTAATTGATTATCAGCTAATTACTAGATAATTGGGGGCTGCTGAAAGTGTGAATTTTGCTTAACATTGATATGGTCAAATGAGTTGGTGCCCCTGCACCGGTTACCGTCACTCACGTCATTCATGTATCCATATAGGTTAGAAACTCCAAAGTGCTAAAAATCGGGTTATTATTAAACCAGGAGTGTTTAAAACCCATTTAGTGTTTATTATGAAAGCAAATAAACTCAGTTTTAAATAAATTGTACTTGTAATTGTGTGTTTTAATCATGACTACTTCGAGTGAAGACGTGCTCCTTCAAGTGCCCCAAGTACGTTACAAAAAGGGCGATGGGACCCTTTTTCTCATGGACCAACGTTTAATTTGGATGGTTGAAAATCGTGACACAGTCGCGGTCTCACATCTGTACGCTGATATCAAATGTGAGTTTTAAAACTTGAGGGAATTTTGTTAAAGTATAACCACTTTTAGCCCAAAAAATATCACCGGAAGGGAAAGTAAAGGTTCAGTTGCAAGTCGTGCTTCATAATGGAGTGTCTTCGACGTTTCATTTCACGAATCGGAACGGTTTGCAGGCTCAATTGTCTGATAGAGATAAAGTTAAGGAGATGTTACAAACTTTACTGCCAAAATTTAAACGAAAAGTGAGCGCTTTGAGGTTTGTTTCAAGGTTTGAATTGTCGGTTTTAGGTTGATAGGGAATTAGAAGAGAAAAATAAGTTGTTGTCGTCAAATCCGGCGCTTTTGCAACTTTATAAAGACTTGGTGATGACTGAAGTGGTGTCGTCTGAGGAGTTTTGGGCACAACATGCCTCCCAATATACGCAAAAACAAAAGCAACAGCCACAGGATATTGGTTGGTAGTATTGTAGTGTTACATAATTTTTGTCACATTTGTTTTTCAGGTGTTTCTGGTGCCTTTTTAGCTGATATTAAGCCACAAACCGACGGTTGTAACGGTTTAAAATATAACATAACTCCTGATATAATTGAATGTATTTTTAAAACGTACCCTGCCGTTAAGAAAAAGTACGTGGAAAATGTTCCCGCGAAGTTATCAGAATCTCAATTTTGGACGAAATTTTTCCAGTCACATTATTTTCACCGCGACCGAAAATACGCCGAAAGTAAAGATCTTTTCACCGAATGTGGAAAAATCGACGATCAAGAAATGAAAAAAGATATTCAAACCGGTGTTGACGACCCTCTGGTCAACATCACCGAATTTGAAGATAAGTCATTGGATGAAGGTTATGGAGTCGCAAATGAAAAAACAAACGTCACTTCCGGTACTGTGAGTCAAGCAATGATCAAACGATTCAACCAACATTCGATTATGGTGTTAAAAGCGACGAAAAAATCAAACAAAAACGAGGAAACAAAAAACACGCCTAAACAAAACGGAAACGTTAGTGAAGTAGAAAGACCTGACCAAGGTCACGTTGCGAAAAAACAACGAATTCAGAGTAAAATCACTTATGACGACTTAGATTCAGCCAGTAGTAGCACAAATAGCGGTCCTAGTCTTAATTTATCGAAAGTAGAGCGATATTTACACGGCCCCATGCCCGACACTAATATAGAACAATTAAACCCGAGCGAAGCCTCTTCTGTTTTACGGGGGGTTCTTCAGGAGACGAAGCAGTGGCAGAGCCGACACCCGAGTAGCTCGTTGGTGACCCCCGCAGCCGCCGTGGGGGCTCTCGGAGAGTTGTCTCCTGGTGGGGCGCTTATGCGGGGCTTCCAGGAGCAGTCTTTGGCACGTAAGGGTTTGAGGGAGTTGTGTGAGGGTTTGTTAATGCTTTTTTGCAGAATTGGTGCCGTCTGATATCGAGAATGAAGTTAGGAATTTGTACCTGGCCTTGTGCGAGTTGTTGAGTCATTTCTGGAAGTGTTTTCCTCCCAGTACGCCGAATTTGGAACAAAAAGCTGTGAAAATGCACGAAGCGTTGCATAGATATCATACTGCCAAATTGAAACCATTTGAGGATAAATTGATCAGGGAGTTATCACCGTTATCACATCATCTGACCAAACATCTTAATCAGTTGCTGAATGCCGCCTACCAAAAATTTAGTAATTGGCAAAAGATCAAAAATCGGTAGTACAAAGTTTTTGGGACGGCTTCAGTATTATTTCTTGTGTCTCATTATTGTAAATGGCAATAAGACAAAAAGACAATTATTTTTTAAAACCTTCTAATTTATATTGTTAGTCTCATTTTTAAGTCCTATTTTCTTGTTACTGTAATAAATTGTACCAAAAGTGAAACGAGAGTTTTATTTGAATTGCCTGAATGTTACACTCTAGTTTACATGTTGGAATTTATTTAAAAATAATGTGTCCGTGACGCGATTCTTATCATTTGTGTCTTTACGTATATTTACAATTTTTGGTATAAAAAACAGTGAGAAAACAATGAATTGGACATTTTCTATTTATTCATATACAAATTCAAAAAAAATATGCTTATTGAGTCAAGTGCGGAATCGAAAGGATTTTCCAAATTTTTATTTTATTTATAACATGAAAATATTAGCATATTACATACATACATGTATTGTATTGTTTTTTGCGGAGAAGTAGCGTAACTCAAATGTAATACAAGGGAAAACGGCACAAGATGGCAGCAGGTGGTCAACGACGCGACGGCAGAAAATTTTTCAAGGGTAGTTTACAATTTTCTTTATCAAGGCGGTTTTAAAATAAATTCCCAAACAATGCAGATATTTGTTCAATTATTATTAATTATTATTGATTGGTTTCAGTGTTTCAGTTTTTTTTCGCTAAGATGGAATATTTACATTTTTGCGCGCTCACTGAGTCTCTGGTGGCTTATAAATCGTTATTTTTTAAGGTCTCATTAGATTCATAATCGTAAAAAGTGAAATGAGGATATAAACAAAAAAGAATAAGAGAAATTTAAGTTAAAGAGGATTTGTTCTCGAATTTTACAAACGGGACCAATAAGAAGTAATTACTGTGAGAAATTTCAGTTTCATGGCGGCCGTACTTTATAATTTAAATTTCGGATTTTGCTTTTAAGCACTTTATGTAAAAGAATTTTTGTTTTCATCAAATCAAATTCGAGAACATATTTCACTTTTTAAACTGTTTTTAATAAATTACTTAAATAACTGACTATATTTGTTTTTATTATAAAAATATTTTTCAATAGTAGATGAAGACACAATAATATGAAAATTTTACTTGCACACGTGAAAATTCTGCTCTAGAGGTAAGAAAGAATTATACCTATTTCAAAACAGGCAAATTTTTTAAATATTTAAACTAGTTTTGAAAGTATTTTTGTTTTGAGGATTCATATCTTAACAGTATTGTTCAATAATTATGCATCATTTCTTACAATAACATGTATTTTAATCCTGGGAATCTAGGGCAATAGTGAATACACACAGACTAATAATGAGTTTAATTTTGTAATTGAGAAACATTTTATTATTGCGTATTTTAATGTATTTGTTACAAAACATTGAAAAAATAGGAACATTTTTTGGCAAATCAACAAATGAATTAAATAAAAATAAACACAGCAGGGCAATTCGCACGAATTGCTCTCTCTCTTTAAATAATTTATTTTCCAAAATAAATACAAAAATGACAAGAAATTAATAGTAATAATCATACGAGGGTCTGTCGTAATATTTATAATTGTAATTCCTCGGCGGCCTTTTTAACTCCAACTGTATATAATCGTTATCATAAGCCGGGTATTTCTCATACCCATCATATCTTGGGTCTTCATAAATAGTTATAGTCTTTTTTGGGGCAGTGATGGGATAAGGTTCGTCGTAATAATAGTGCGGATGTTTCTTCAAGTACCTTTCATGTCCATATCTATCGTCCTCGTCGTATTGATGAGCAGCATTTCTTCTTCCTTCGTTCTCCTTTGCATCGTAGTATCTCTTTGAGTTGTAGTCCTTGCGATTCCCTAAATCCTTTTCGTAATTCCCTGCGTTGTTATAGTACCCATTTTTGCCCTCATCTTGGAGATACCTTTGATCGTCTACATGTGACCCTTTCTGTGAGTGTTGCCCAGCATCCCCGTACAAATTCTTCTTGTTGTTGTGCACATATTCATTATCTTCGTTATCAGCATCGTCGTAGAAACTCGAAGTGCTGGCACTTTCATCTTTGTGGAAACTCTTTGTGTACCCCGACTTGTGGTGCCCTTTCTTATTTGCACTTTTCTTGTTGAAATCGGCCACTTCGCCCCCTTGGTTCTGGTGGTACTTATCATCCGCGTAATTGTTTTCATTCGAGTGTAATTTCTTCTGTCCGCTTTCCTCGTTGTACTTCCCCGAGTCTTGGGCTTGGACTCGTTTGCTCTCGTTGTCGTGGTTGTACCCTTCCTCGCCTTGGTAGTTGGAGACGCCTTTGGCACTGTTCAGGTCGTAGACGTTGGCGTCTTGACGCCGACCTTCATCTTTGTGGCTGCTCACCCCCGAACGGATGATGATGGGATCCGCGCACGACGAGATTATCAGAGACAACAGCACGAAGACTGGACGCATCGCGACACTAAACGGCACCGGATGGAACCGAGGGTTTATATAAGCGGTGACCTTCCCGGATTCTGAGGTATCCTGTCTTGAGAATTTCACGCTTTGATGAGGAGATACGGCCACAATGAGAGGCAAGAAAGGTCGATTAAGGCCGGTGAGGATTTTTTGCACGGCCGAAAATTTCTGAGATGAAGATGGGAGCGGTCGGCCGTTAAATTAAGTTGCTTCGCTAAATTAACAAAGCATTTATTTTTGTAGCGTTTGAAAAATACAGGGTGATTTAGGTGAGACTTCTTCACTCAATATTTTTATTACTACTTGTTAAATTAAAAAAAAATATTTGGATTTTTTTTTTTGAAAACTTGTAAAACAAT